TCAGTTCTTGGTGAGGCTGCAGGTTTCTTCGCTGATGGAGTTGCAGTAGTGTCTTCTGCCGTAGCCCTAGTTGTGATTGAAGCACCTACAGAACGTGGTGAGGTAGGGCCATCCTTGGTTATGGTTTTACTCAGAGTAGCCTTTTTTGTGGTAATCACAGTTCKGATTGAAGGACCTTCTGTGTTTTTCTGCCCTTTGACAACAGTTTCAACAGCAACACTTGGGATCCCACTCGCTTCGCGGGAAAAGGGCACAACATGGAAGTGGTATGTTTCACCAGGAAGAAGTTGTGTTAGTTCAATTTCATCACAGTCGTAACATCTTTGCTGTTTCCATGTTTTTGAGGTCGCCTGTCGGTAATATACTTGATATCCTAGTATTCGTCCTTGTGTAGGTGTTGGTTCTACAATATCCCACGTTATTACCACTTTTGAAGGAGCGGGACTTGCGATGGTCTGGATGAATGGAGCTGGTGGAACTATTAATACAGAAGGGTTTAGGGTGGATATTGGACATTTTAATGTTAGTCACACCAACAAATGACAATGATAACTAGTTTTTCTATGATGCCAAATAAATTTTTAACGTGATCCATCACGAGCATACGGTCAATTGCGTTACAYACTTTAACATMTATCAAAKTTTATCACAAAAAAAGAATGCATTCAATGATAAATCTCATTTCATCCACTGATGTGGGTAAATTTGTAAGTGAGTATATTTGAATAGTATATCAGTTTCTTAAGAAATATCATTCAATCAAATTAAAAGCTTTTCTGTAACAAAATTGCAATATTAATCTACAGCCAAATACACAATTAGAGAAATTCTGGATTAAGATAATCCTACTGTTCATGATGATTTGACTGTACTTATTTATGAACGTTACGAAATATAATTTAAATTCTTTTTTATAATGTAACTGATCTCGTCCAAAATTAGAAACTTACCATCACTTGAAAAAATTGCCAAAAGATTAACAGGGAGCTCACTTATTGTAGAATAACGTAAAATGCTCTCAACCAAATCAAGAAGCTCTTTGCCTTTCAAGGAATTGAAGACAATCTTTACGAGCGCTTCAACTCCTTCAACGTCTTGCACAAAAGGCCTGAATAAGAATTGAGAAAAACATATCTGATTTCCATAAACTTCTTCTTGTCTTCCTGAAGCTAGTTTTATTTCCAGAATGTAAGTATTTTAATTAAAGTTGTTCGATTTCAAATAGAAATGATTCATTACAGTTATCGCTTTAATTTATACAACAYATCTTCCGCATGTACATGTCACACACCGTGAGAATCCTCTGAATTCGAAATATAGCTCTTACCTAAACATGACCATTTCTACTCTTTCGAAGGCAGGAACATTTTCAAAGAAGTTCCTCATCTGAAATAGAAACATGTCGATTAACATTCAATTCCATGACAATTTCAAAATGAAATAATACTTACATTTTCAATAACTTTGACTTCAATTTCCTTAAAGATTTCAGTCGATGTGTCCAGGAGGTCACCATTCCATGTCTCGCCAGTCAGATGTAGGTCTAATTCGATAACTTGAAAAAAAAATCCAACCACTTCAACTACCATAACCTTAAATCTGATTGAGTAAAACTAACCGGGATTCAAGGATAGTTCAGTGAGTAAAAAATCAAAATATTCAGAAGAATATCTACAAAAGAATTCATCCACAATTGATTTCCATTCACAAAGTGATCTTACGAAAACATAAGAAAAGCGGCCTTAGAAGCACAAAATCAATTAAAAACTAAATACCTTTATCTGAGACAGTTGGTGCACTACTTGTGCCTCGAATATCAGGAAAAGGAGAGCTTATAATTAGTTCTGTTGCTGCACCACTTGAGGTCTTTTCTATTGCAGAGCCTGAAGCAGTAGAAGGTGGATAAGTTGAGGCGGTCTTTGGCGCAGAGCTGATAGTTGGTGAAACATCTGAGGATCTCTCTGTCGCAGAGCTAGGACTTTGTTTACCAGAAGTAGTTGGTGCATTGGTACTTTCTGTGCTGCTAGTTTCCTTACCAGCAGTAGTTGTTGCCCCACTTGAGGTGCTTTCTCTTGCAGAGCTAGTTGGTGCATTAGTAGATGATGTGCTATCCATTAYTGAAGTGCTATTTTGTTTATCTGCAGTACTTGGTGTGTTAGTCGAGGTTCTTACTACAGCAGAACTCTCAGTAGCTGCATCGCTTGAGGTTATTTCTGCAGTACTTGGTGCAACCGTTGAGGTGCTTTCTTTTGCAGAGCTTGTACTTTCCTTGCCAGCAGATGTTAAGACATCAGTTGAAAAGACGTTCGTTGCAGTGCTGCTAGTTTCTTTAACAGCAGTAGTTGGGGTCTTGCTTGTTGTAGTGCTATATGTTACCGAGGTGATACTTTGTTTATCTACAGTAGTTGGTGTGTCAGTTGAAGTTCTTTCTGTCGCAGAGCTGGTAGTAGACGCATCGCTTGGAGTTATTTCTGTTGGAGAGCTGGAAGTACTTGATGCAACAGTTGAGGTGATTTCTTTTGCAGAGCTCGTCCTTTCTTTACCAGCAGTACTTAATGCATCAGTTGACACGATTTCCGTTGTAGAGCTCCCAGTTTGTTTACCAGCAGAAGTTGGCTCGACACTTGAGATACTTTCAATWACAGAGCTTGAGGTTTCCTTAAAACCTGTAGTTGGTGCCTYAGTTGGTGATGTGCTATCAGTTACCAATATGCCAGTTTGTTTGTCAAGAGTAGTTGGCAAAGCACTTGAGGTGATGTTTCTAATAGAAATTGTAGTCTGAGTACCAGCACTAGTTGGTGCATCACTTGTTGTGCTGTCTGTTCCAGAACTGCTACTTTCCTTACCGGAAGTACACATTGCTTGAGTTGAGGTAATTTCTGTTAAAGATGCAGTACTTTCTTTAGCAGAAGTAGTAGGTGGATGAGTTGTGGTGATCTTTGGGGAAGATCTGGTAGCTGGTGAAACAGCTGAGGATCTCTCTGTCGCAGAGCTGGAAGTTTGTTTATCGGAAGTGGTTGTTTCATCGGTTGAAGTAATTTCTGTTGCGGAGCTGCTAGTTTCTTCACCAGCGGTAGTTGGTGCACCACTTGAGGTACTTTCTATTGCAGAGCTTGGAGTTACCTTTCCAGCACTAGTTGCTGTATCAGTTGAGGTGCTATGTGTAACAGATGTAGTACGTTCCTTAACAGCAGTAGTTGTTGCCTCTGTTTCTGCTGTGCTATCCGTTATCAAGGTGGTACTTTGTTTATCTACAGTAGTTGGTGTGTCAGTAGAAGTTCTTTCTGTCGCAGAGCTGGTAGTAGACGCATCGCTTGGAGTTATTTCTGTTGAAGATCTGGAAGTACTTGATGTAACAGTTGAGGTGATTTCTTTTGCAGAGCTCGTCCTTTCCTTACCAGCAGTACGTAATGCATCAGTTGACAAGATCTCCGTTGTAGAGCTACCAGTTTGTCTACCAGCAGAAGTTGGTGCAGCACTTGAGGTACTTTCTATTGCAGAGCTTGAAGTTTCTTTAAAAACAGTAGTTGGTGCTGTGCTATCCGTTACATAGCTGGAACTTTGTTTAGCAGCAATAGTTCTTGCAGTAATTGTTGTGCTCTCCGTAAAGGAGGCAGTACTTTCTTTATCACCAGTAGTTGGGGCAACGGTAGTTGCAGCTGTGACGCCGATCGTCTCTTTGCCAACCGTCGTTGCTTCATTAGTTGTGGTGGTATCTGTTGTTTCGGCATTTGTTTCCTTCTCGCCAGTAGTTGAGGACTCAGTAACTACTGAGCTATCTGTTTCAGAGCCAGTAGTTGCTGTAGAACTTGACGAATCAGTTATTCCTGGGATACCTGTTACAATGGTAGTAGCTTCTTTAGCTGGAGTAGTTGAAAAACGTTGCCCTGCAACATTACTTGATTCGGTGAAATGTTCAGCACTATCACT